GATATTCTTAAATAACAAAAACAAAAGTTTTTCATACTTTTATGGCTTCTTTTTTATATGTTACTTGTGCAACTAATTGATACTAAATTCCTCTTTCCCTTTTCCGTATCTTTTTGAGTTTGTTTGTTCGTTGTTCGTTGTTTGCAATCAACAATATCGTATGCGCCTCTATTTTTGTTCTCTATTTTTTGAGTTCATGGAGTAATATGCAATTCCCTTACAGAGGCCGTTATACCAGCCTCGGTGAAAGCGTTCCCGGTATAGTTTGCAAGGCAACTGGCTGGATTATATGCCGTGAAAGGCATTTCTCTCTTGCCCGGCATGCTTTTTAAATCCTCTTGCGAAATCTCTCCCTCGACTTCCATTACGGCGGACAAATCAAGGATGTGTTTTTCCCTTCTCGTGACCCTGATACTTTTGTCAGACGTATGTGAGGCCGATCCTGACGATCTCGACGTGCAATATTCAGCAGGGTCTTGTAGGATTCTCCCTCAAATTCACAACGGCCTGACGGGGATAACGCAGGAGGGCCGCAAATCTCCTGGGAGACCGGTGTAACTCTCTAAATAATTAAGTTTCAAAACCGCAGGATCGACCCTCGTACACAGTCTAACTTGGCGGAATCCTAATTGACGGGAGCAAAGCATCATTTACTATAGTCGAAAGTTAGCGGTCCTCTCTCCCATTCTCTCTCGAAGCCAGACTTTCGCGTAATATGATATTATGTTCCGGTGCAAATGGTGTAAATTAGAATATGCAGCACATAAGCCTGAATTCTCAGCGTCCAGCAAAATCGAATTTGAATAAACAACTCTTCGTGGAATATTACTAATATAGACACGTAGCAGAGAGAAAGAATAAAGAAAAATTAATGAAAATTAAAAGAGGATAAAAGGATTAAACTTGACATTTCTCTTATTAAGCCGATCTCTTCGATAAAGACATGCACTTTCAGGAAAGTAAGAATATTTTAATGAAAATTAAAAAGGATGAAGAAATTAAATATGATTTTTTTTTTTTACTGAGCAGATTTTTATAAAAATGCAGTAGGAAATATCACTGTTTCCCATCAAGAAATCTAACGTAAGTTTTTACATTACTTATATATATCATCCTAGCAAAAAGTAATATCTTTCTTTTTGAGTACTCTCGTATCATATTCCTGGATGATATTCCTGGAAGTTCATGTATGTATGCGCTCTTTAATATCTATTAAGAGTCTTCTTCGCAAGAAAATTGTGATGCTTTGTCGGATCACGTAAAGAAATACCGCTCTAAAATCCTGCAAGATATTGCCGAAATATGTAACTCGTAAAAAGAAGCGGTTCCGAGGGGCCCGAAATGGCGATGATCCTACAGGTGGTTGCGAATAAATCCGGCCAAGATTACAAATAAGTTATCACGGCCACCTGAAGCGATTCCGCGCAGGATCCGGTGATCCCCTTTTGAAGATCCGTAGGACAGGAGGTCTCGGCCGAGATAGTTGACGTAGCTTCTACGGAGGTAGATCAAAGAGCCGCGCGGGGTACAAACCGCCGTACAAGGTGTCCCGATAATAACCCATCGGTACTCGGGGTTTCATTAGACGAGAAAAGCCCGAGCGCAACCCGTGGGGTATGTATTGTGTGTATTGTGTGCGCTGCAACAACCTCTTCGAAACTCCGCAAACTCAATGAGCAGCCCCTTTGACGGGACGCGCCCTTTGCCTCGAAATTTTCCTGTTTCGCGTAAGGACGAACGAGAAATTTCACGTCGCGCTGTTGTTTCGGTAAATCGCGGTGGTTTGACTTCGGATGTTAATCGCGTAATCATGCCTCGGAGTAACGTACCGGCTAATGTGTAATATTAATGCCTTCGAGTGATGCTTTACCGTGTCCCTCGACGTCGCGTTCCCGCATTAACCCTTAAGTCGATAACGGTAATTGATTCATGAGGCTTTGTGCTCATGCAAAATGAAATAACATGTAATATTTAATGTTCTTTAAACATCTAAAGTGGAGATAAAAAAGTTGAGAATATATATATATATATATTTATGTATTATGTATATGTTATATTTACTTCATAAAATATGCACAGTTTTGTCAGATAGCAAAAAGAAATCTCTCTCGAAATTTATTTTTCATTTTACTTATTTTCTTGACACTTGTCAAAATTGAAAAATTATTTTCTTATTTTGTCCTTGTTTTCATGCATTTTTTAAAAACTTTTTAATATGACTGCTTTAACATTTCCGAAACTATTACAATAATATTAGCATAAATTAAGTAATCTGTCAACAAATTTTAAATTAAAGAAGAGCTCTTGTGATCTTATCATTTTCGCATTATATACCAGATCCTGTGGCAAACAAAGAGAGCAACCACTCATCCGAGACACACAACGTTTTTAAGATCTCATTTGCTAAACAACGAGACAGGCGTCCGCTCTGCCTGCCTAAAACTTCGATAACAAGTTCCTTCGGGGGACTGAAGTACCGGAGCGAAGGCAATGAATATTGACGCGAACTTATTTAAATATTGACCGATATGTAAACGAGTTTTCACTGGCGACCGGAAGCAAGTCGTCTCACGTCGTCGTCGCGTTTCTTCTGATTTCTCCGAAGCCCGGCCATCGATTTTCGTCGTCGCAAAGTCGACCGCCCCCTTAAATACCCATCTCGCCACCACGGCGTGAAAAAGAAAGCGAGGGTCGCCGCTAATCCTCTTCCATTTCACATTGTGCTTATTGGATCGTGTAACGAGAGCGCGTTAGGGCTCGGGGTCTAAAAATAAGGGCGGTGTCAATCGGTGGGTGAACCGCGAGAGATATTTATCGAGAATGAAATGCTTCCCCGCCTATCGCTTCCTATTCGAATTTCCTACACTCTGCATTGATAATCAATCTCGCGCGATATCTTAAATGTAAACTGTCAGGAGGAAGAAGATAAAGAGGAGAGAGACAGAAAGCAGGAGACAGACGGAAGAAACTGTGATTGATGGGCCTACACTGATTTAACTGAATGATCGCTTAACTGATCGTAATAAAATATTCTTTTCGTTATGAGCATTTCTCGTCGCCACCGTAATTTCCTCTTGCTTTCATAATATTTTAATATAACATTTAAATTACAAATAAAAGAAAATAAATAACACCCATAATTCACTACCCTACGTTCTTATGTCTGTTAAAATTTTAATTGTAATATAGATTTATCCATGCACAATAAATTAAATTAAATAATTTCCATTCTACATGACTATAGATCACGTGGTAACAATCATAACGGACATTATAAAAAAATATTTGTCAAATTAATAAAATTTCCTCTGTACTCTTCATTCTGTATTTTCCTTTCAAATCGCGTAACAAAATCGCCTCTAAAGCCGCCTCTCCTAGTGTCTTTTGCAGTGAAATGTGCAGTTTGCGGAAATTCAATTCCGCTATGTCTATGTTGATTCGTACGAATATATTTATCTCATCGTCGCTCGGTCCCTTTTGTTTAGACAATTCACAGGCTGCGCCCGGCAAAATCTGCAAATGTCGGCGGGTACGCGACGCAACGCGCAAACGTGCCGGTCGTGCATCGCACGTGCATCACCGCGGCTGCACGTGCGACGCATATTTCCGATATTTGCCAGCGATAAAGCCGGCCGAATTGCGAGCAACGCCCGATGGCTTACAAAGTCACTCGCGCGGCGACGCGGCGTGTCCGTTCGTCCGATTGCGGGATTCGCGCGTGTTTTTGCATTTTTGCATCGACATCGACAGTGCCGAAGGGCCGCGGCCAAATTGATTTTGATACGCAAAGGCAGAGCTTACACAACTGGTAAAATCCGTCATCCGTATAATATTCGGGCCGGCCAGTTTTCGGCCCGAAACCAAATATTAGCGAACGTGACAGTGACGAACGAAATTCTGGACGGCGACAAAAAGTTAAAAAATATTTTTCACCGAATTAATGCACATATCCTCGAGCATGGCGTTGACCTCGACCGTGATTTATGTGTACCATTAATCAAGCTTGATCACGCATGATTGTTTTTTTTTTATGTATCCCTAACTCGGGTAATAGAGAGCGAGGAACTTTAAAAAAGCATAATTTATTCATTATTTCCGGATAAATCTCATGTCGTAATAAATCGCGATATTACCGGATTAGCTCTTATTGCATGCGTTTTGACTGATATTTCTTTCTAATCTCTGTTAACACCTTTTCCATATACCCCAACATTCGCGAGGTATTCTTCTTCATCCCTCTCCCTCTTCTTCTTCGACTCTTTCCTTTAATCTTCGCCCTTCCACTTTGCTAATCCAGTATTAAACTTTCTCTTCTTATTATGCTCCTTTCTACCCGATCCTCGGATTATGGCCACTGATCCGGCATTAAAACTCTTCTTAGCAGTCTCGTTCTCGATCCTCATCTTGTGACACTCGTAATCCACTCGTTCTTCCTCGTTCATGGATACGCATATAATTCTTTCGCTACAATCGAAAAATTATGATCCACCTCATTGTGAGTAATTCTTCTGTTTTACAAAGATAGATTTGAGAGAAAATTCTCTCAAGACAAATACCTCGTACTTTTGCATTAAGTTTCGAGAATGCGGACACCGAGTTTGTTCTTTTTCTTCTTAACTTACAAAATGTAATCTACCAAAAAACTAGAGGAGAAACTTTCAGCAAAATTCTCTTTAAAAATTTTTACTAAAAAAATCTATTCATAAAATTTCTTTTAGAAAATCACTTTAGATACTAGTGTACCGTTTCTAATATGTTACTTTTGGAGTAATTAATATAATAATATTAAAACGTGTCTATTCTTGATGAATTTTTGAAGTAAATCATATTAGCATAACATTTCTATGATAATGTTCTTTTTTTATTCAATGCTATCATTATAGATAAAGATCATAAATGTACGTAACTGAAATTAACGCAATTTGAGATGTAAAACGCTAGAAAAATTATAGCTGAGTTCAGCTGAATCTACTAACTGTAAAATTTTATTTCTATTTTAGCTGCTAAGCTCGATCGTGGTAGTTGGCGGGACGAACGTAGCCGGCGCACTGACACATCACCCTCGGGAATTGGCACAAAGACAGGCATTCCTTGAAACCCGACAATGTGTCGAAGCACGTCTGACCACGCAACGAGAGAATCAGCAACAGGTATGCACTGTATTTGCAAAAAATTCGTACCAGTTCGGACAGATTGACGCAAATAATGTTCAACGTAATAATAAGAATAAATAAATATAACCGATAAAATTATCAATTTGAGATTATTAATTTTGAATGAATAATAAGAATTTATGAATATTTATTTAATAATAATAATAAAATTAATTGTCAAATTTATTAGCTTTGACGTAAACGGTTAAAAATAAATAAAATCTGATAATTTGTAAAGCCGTAATATTTCAAGAAAAGATTTCTGAACGTCGAACTTTCATCCAAAAAAATGAAGAATTCTCTTCGATGGATGAAAATGAAATAAAAAAAGAATCAAGAAACTGAAAGTTAATAAAGACCAGAAAATTTTAGATCTCTAAACTTGAAAATTAACTTAAAAGACAACGATGAAACTTATTTCTCGATAAGAAAAAGAAAACACGTAGAATATGAGGATACACGTGATACATGAGGACATTGGGAAATTTGATTTTTCCACACGTGTAACTGCTATAATGTATCTTGTCGATTGTTGAAGTTACAAACATATCGTTTAATAAAATCTCGTTTAAAACACTGTACGCTAGGACAAAGTTATTCTCATTTAATATTTGATAGCAAGATAAATTTTAATCGCATATATTGCAATTCACGTATACTAAATTTTAACATAATGAGAATCATGTTTTAATCAAAAAAACTTTTCTCGTAATTTATATGATTTATGTAACTTTCGTCTATTTTCACAAACGTAGCGTCTATCTCATTGCGAGAGAATAGTTAAATAAAATATATCGAATAAATCTCGCTTTACTAGCAAATAAAATTGCATATACGATTCAGTTAATATTTTATATCGATTTTATAATGATCTTCCTCATTTTGTTAATACAAAGAAGATAAAAATTTTATTTATTAAAATAATTAATGACGTATTTGTATTAATATATTTTCTCCTTTCTATGGATCTATCGTTTTCTCTATTTTGATAAACTGTTTTCATATTTTTAATCTTTTATGTATTATAAAGAAATTCGGTCAATTTAAATAGCACAATTCTTTATTAATAGCAAAGTGAATGGATCAATTATATTTGGAGATGTCACAGAGACTATAATGGTTTCAACGCCCGATAATCTACTAATAGACATTGCTAAAACCATGTCATGGAAGTAATGATCATTATAATTCCCATGATGCATTATTCCATCGGAATCTCGAATAATTGACACCTTTATTAATTATTAATGACATCATTAATGTTCATGTAAACCGCACGTGAATGCATAAAGGGAGTCCTATGTTGAGAAACCACCAATATTACCTGAATAATCTTAATTAAAAAACGATACAAAAATCATTATAGAAATTAGTAATAGAAATTGATATAAATTTATTTTAAATTCAGATTCTAAAAAAATTAAAAATACCTTTTACGAAGAGAAAATTTAGCGCTCTTATTATTTTATTTAGCAATTTTACATATTCTTGGAAGAAAATTAACAAATAATGGTTGTCAAATCAATGGCTTATAAAATTAGACGTTTTAATTTTCTCTTGTATATATCGCAAATTGCCGTGTAAATTTAAATTAATTTATAAATAAGATTTTAATTTCTAATTTACACAGAAGAAAATAAAGGCGACAATTCTCTGTTTTGCATTAAAATGTATAAAATCATTACCTCGTGATTACTTCGGTCAAAGCGCTTCTGTAGAATGTAGACTTGATGGAAGACATCTACATGAGAAAAATTTCACAGAATCAATTTCTTTTAAATTGATTGAGGATTTCTTTCAAGAATGCAATATAACTGGCGACGCTATTCCAGTTGAAAAATATATGTTAGGCAAAGATGGCTTTTAAAAAATGAAAATCACGACAGTAAGTAAATATTTCACGGGTTTTTCGGTCGGGCATTTTGGTGCTCTCAACGAACGCTCGGATTGAAAATCTTCAAGAGCGACTAAAGTACATCAGATGTGCTGTAGTCAATCGCACAATATCTGGCGCGAATTCAATCAACCGTGGAGTTTGAAAGATGAAAACGCGCCGCTGCGGATCTGAGGCTCGCGTATAATATCGCGTTGTTGTCAGACGCGCGATTAGAAATCTCTCGCACAAAGAATTCAGGGTATGGCGATAACGAGCGATTCGATTTGGACTTCTATTCGGAGATATTTCAGAAAGGATTTCGCCGATGGAACATTTCACGAGCGATCGCCGAGTGTATAGAGATGGATGTACGTAGAGAAAATACTCAGAATTTCACAGCGCATTCTCTCACTTTTCTGCAGATTTCTCAATAATTTCATAATCAAGTTTTCCGAAGCGAAAAAATATGAACGTCGAATTTAAATAGATGTTATTTTTCACAAACATGTTATTTTTCATTTGTAAAGTCACATTCGCGTCTCTCTTCGAATATCAAATTAATAGGTAATAACACGAATAAATTAAATAAAATTTTTAATAAATAACGAGTCGAAAAATTATATTATTTCTAGATATAAAAGAGAATGTTTAATGACGTCCATGTTTCCTCAATCAGTCAGAAAATAAATAAGCAAATTTTCCATAAATTATATTTCATACTCAGCCCGGCGAATGGCGAGAAAGGCATGGAGCATTTTGTGGAAGTTTACAAAAAGGAAAAGCTGAATATAAGTCAATATGCTGAATCAAACTACGTGCTCGCTGAATAATTGATTTTGTTCGATTCTTTGTTATTCGTGGGCGTGTTAAAAGCAACACGCTTCGCGCAAGTTTTATTCCACGGGACTGTGATATTGCGGCATAATTATTATTTTATGATACCACATGACGCCCGATATTCGCGCGTCGCTGTGCTTCATTGTTTATAGAACTTTGGCACTGCGCGTATTATTAAAATAAAACGACGTGTGCATCGAAAAGCGTGCGAATCCGACCGAAATACGGCGGTCGGGCGACAAAGTCCCCCGAGAGTGAATTTGTATCGCCTGAGTGTGTTGTCGAACAGTCGAAAAATAATAGACGAATTGTTTGCTGAGGCACGAGGGGCTTTAATAAAGTAGAGTGCGCCGATTGTTCATCAACTATTTTTCTCTTTTTTTTTCAGCGTACTCGTATTTTTAGTCCCCGTTAAAGCGCTCCCCCCCCCCTCCTAGTTAAGATAAACTTTTTAAACAAGAGCAAAATGTACTTTGGAACAGAAGCAACGTTTCCCTTATTTCTGAGACAAATGAACGAATGTAATTAACAGACTGCTCTAACTTTGTGACTACTTCATTTCACTACTACTATTCATTCGTTCTACTTACTTTCACCAAGACATTCTTGCCTTTACTTAGTTTGCTTTTTATTTCGTATTATCTGCATTTTCTCTTCTCCACTTATGTATACAATCTTCTCGTTCTATTTATTTCTGTCGCAGGATATAATATGTAATAGTGTGCCTAATATGAGAACTAATAGTTCTTTGTGCGCTACATCCAAAGAGCTTAAAATATCGTTGTTATCCGATAGGGATCACGATCGGAATTTCTCTGATTACTCATTTATTTTCAGCGGCGAAGTACGAAAATAAATCGGAAACCGAAATAATCGCCGGCAGGCTGTGAGGTCTATTAAAGTCTATTAAAGATAGCGTCTTATCTCTCGTTAATAATCACGTGGTACTTATGGTGGTGAGAGAGGCTTTATGTTATTAATCAGAAATCCGTAAACGGTCGCGATATCAATCAGCTATTGTTTCACGTTTGCTTGTTGATCGCTCACGGTTGTCTCGTATACGCGACACGCTGCCGTGTAACGTATGCGTATGCATTTAACAGTGATGAACATACACCGAGATGTCGATGTCTCATCCTCCTATCTCTGATAACCGAGACTCACCTCGATCGCCAGAAATGACGACGCGAATCGCGCTGCTGAAGCAATAGTAATAAGAGTTACGTCCCGCGCTGACATTGTGGAAAAGAAACGTGAAATAATATACATTTACTATTTTTGCGGAGTTTGCTTGTGCAAATTTAAAATTTCAATATTCATCAATCGGATTTTATGCACATCGCCGCGATCTGATTACATTTTTACCTTTATAAATAACATTTATTCTCAAGTCAATCGCGTTTAATTTTAATTACAGCCTAATTTCGCTCTTTGTCTATTCTTAAACTTAATTCTAGAAAGAAAAAGGAGTCATATTTAGAGTTAAAGGTAGCCGACGTCGGAGAAATCAATATTGCAGAAATCCGAAAGAACGCCAAAGCCATCCAAAAGTGGCTCTCCAGGACCAATTTCCGGGATTGGAAGTAAATATTTATAACGAATTCCCAAATAGGAATTTTACCGAAATATAATTAAATTGCTTCCATTGAGAACTAATACCAATTAAAGTCTATTTGTGCATTTGACGTTCAACTGGTAAAAACTCAACACTTAACTCCCGATCGGCTCGCCAACATCATCGGCGAAACAAGCGTGCGGCAGTTCGATAAAAATAATTGTGACGCTCTATAGAATCCGAGTCGAACCGCGACGTATCTGCATCACACGGGTTTACACGTCGCGATGCAGATTCTAAAAGCGCGCAACAACTACGTCCGCGCGTATCGATCATCAATGCGAGACTTGTCGAACGCGTCGTCGACTTTGCCTGCACTTGAGAGGTTCCCACGATGTTGACGAGTTCTACACGTTTCGAACAATACGTCGCCTATGTCGCACGTGCTCGCGTCGTGTGTGTGTGTGTGTGTGTGTGTGTGTGTGTGTGTGTGTGCGTGTGCGTGTGTGTGTGTGCGCGCATGCGTGCGTGCGTGCGTGCGTGCGTGCGTGCGTGTGTGCGTGCGTGTGCGTGCGCTACCGAGCCGTATTAGTTCAATGTACCGCGATCTCTACGAAACAGCAAAGATTATCGGCTATCGAAGGGCTGACATTCTTCCGCTTTAGCTCTATAATACCGCGATTCCACTTGGCAATCGTAGGAACGTGATCTCGTGTCATTTTCCGCAACGCTCAACATTTGACGAGATTCCCGAGAGATATCACATGTTGGAAATACCGTGGGGAAAATATTAATTTTGTACAATTATATAATAATTATATAATTATATAATAATTTTTAATTAAATAATTTCGTGACCAAACTACGCCAGATTAAACATACAGAATAGACGTTAGAATTCCGAAGACACAAAATTAATTTAAATCTAAACAAACACTTTTGTTATTCAATCGGAAAAAAATAATTTTAGGTAGGTTCTAAAAATTTGAACAGATCTGAAAATTAATTTTATTATTAGGTCATCAAAATTATTATGTAGGACATTTAAATATGATGAAAACACTGCAAATTTTTTTTTTTACATTTCAGCAAATAATTTGAAACGTTCTACATATTTATTTTGATGACGACAAAATTATTTTTCGAGCGAAATTGTTCTTTCCGTGCAATTATGACAAAATCACTCGGAGAATTTATTATTAAATTTAAAAGAGACTTTGACGCACATATGAATATCAAGTTGATATATCTATGTACATAACAAGCGTGCACGTGCATAGTGGATTAATAGTGTATAGTAGGTATTGAATAATGCACTTTAGCTCTTATGACTGTATTAATCTATTGTCCCCCAAGCTGGTCTATCCATTACGACCCTCCCTCCATAGATCCTTTAACAGGATATTGGAAGATCTATTCCAAGGATTAATTTAATGATGGCTGCTATTAATCCGTTACTGTGTTTGAGAGAAATTATTTGATACGCAATTTTATCAATAAATCCAAGAAAATATCCAATTACTTTCGATTATGCGATTTATCACAATATTAGTATGAGAGAAGTATGAATTTTGCCACGTAATTAATGGAACTATTATGAAAGTAAAAACAATTAAAAAAACTTATTCAGAGAGAGTTGCAATCTAATTATTATACACAACATCTGGAATTTCGCAAACTCCTGCAGTTTGCGTGTTACATTCAACAAATAATACATATAAATAATACTTTATTTTATATTATTGTTTATATTATTAAATTCCTACTTTTTCATTTATTTTCGTGGACATTTTTATGCGCACGTGGACGTTTTTATCGTCTCTATTTTTATTTCTTCTAAATTAAGCCAAGTACAAACATAATTCTATAATGTTGACTTATTATTTTTTTTTTTTTTAGGAGAGGCTTTTGCTCAGCGTATTACCAAGGCATGTCGCCATGGAGATGAAAGCCGATATAGCCGGAAAGCCGAAGGACACGATGTTTCACAAAATTTATATTCAAAGACACGAGAACGTCAGGTATGTTGCATCGATGGCCTGCGAACGAATAGCTTAAGACGCGCACCTTAAAAAAGAAAGAACTGAAAGGTGTCACTCCGATAACGCCACTTTGACATTTTGCAAATGAGACCCAGTTTCGCTTTGTTACTAAGCTGAAAGGAATTTACATAATTATTTTATACCTTGTGTTCTCCGTGTATGCTCGCTACTTAAATTGGAATTCGCAGCAGGTTAAACTTTGTAATCTCTCCTTGCGGTACAGCGCAGTCTTTTGATTGTCATAAAAGCTACACTTTTTTTTAGGAATTTTTTTTTCCCCTTAAAGAGGAAGACTTGTGCGGACATTGTAAATTATAAATTAAAAAATTAGAGAACGCACGTATTTTTAACGTATTATAATTTCGATATTGATCGATATTATGACATCATAAGTAGTTATAATATAAAATAGGATTATTATAACTAATTATACTATCGTGAACGTTTTACTACATGAGAAGCGTAATCATTCCATAATGCACTCATGCCAGATGCTTCAAAATCTGACGATTTACCAGAGTGCTCTACAGTGCGCGATATGATAAGCACACGTGGCTGCGTAGAGAGAATTCTAGATTGGCTTGAAGTGGGTTGAAATGTTACATCCAATCTCTGGCGTCTCACCAAGCTCAGGTCAATCTAACTTAATCGGCAAATTCGCAAAGAGCAAATGTCATGTTCATTTAACTTCACTGGATTTCCGCGAACTTGCGGACAATTTTTCATTCCCAGTTTCCCCTTTCCAAAATGTTTGACTCGACACTTCCTCCACGGCCCGTTTGAGGTCTATTAAAGTCGAAGTAATTACGGAACACTTTATAAAAGTGTTCAAAGATTATTTACATGAAAGATTAATTTGAAAATTAATTTAACAGACATAATTGACTCTCTTCTACTTAAATATTTCAGCATTTTGTTTGCCGATATCTGTGGATTTACCTCGCTCTCCGATCAATGCACTGCCGAAGAGCTCGTCAGATTGCTCAACGAACTTTTTGCACGGTAGGAAACATTACAATTAAATAAAATAATCATTGTTTATCCTAATAATCATTGGTTATCCTTCATAAAAAATGTATTGAGATATAAATAATTTTTAATTAAATTGCCAGTACTATTAATAATCCTAATAATTTTAATGATAAAAAGTATTACACTAAAAAATTTTTTTTATCTTTTT